CAGCCAGGTCCCTCTCTGCATCTCCAGACCCAGCACCCACTCCTAATCCCAATTTCCAGGAGCGATGACCACAAACTAAAACACAACAGTATCTTTCCTTGGAAACAGGAATTCTTTCTGTCATTTTAAAGGACCTAAACAGTGCATTTAATGGAACAGCTAAAACTTCTACGTGCTCAGTCAATGAAAACAAAGTAAAATATCTTTATTTTGTTTGTAATCTGTCTTCCTGTACAGCAAAACAAGGCAAAAAATACACCCTTTAAGTCACGTGCATATAATTGTATTATTAATGTATTAAGAATGTAATTGCAATACTCAGCACTGCACTGAAATTAAGTGTGGAAAGGAGACACTGCATTCCAGAAGTCTTCGTGCCACAGATACCTGAAAAACCTCTTGGGGGAAAAAGTAAAGCACATGGTGGAAAATTTGGAGGACTTTCCTAAGAATTAATTGCTGTAACAGAAGAGACTTTGCTAATGCTAATAAGCAATAAATGCTAATAAGCCAGGAAATCACCTTGTCCACTTACAGGCAGCAGGGTTTGTGCCTGCTATGCAACGTGTTTTCCAGTCTGGATGTAAAATCAAGTGATTTCCAATATGGAAAGGGTTAATCTCCCTGAGAAGCCTCAGCATTTAATTCATTGGGCATTGGAAGCCACCTGTGAGTGAGTGAGTGTTCAAGGGAAAGAGAGGGAGATTTAGGCACAGCACTTTGCCATTCCATCACTGGTAGAGGCATCAATGCTGAGAACATGAATAAGCACTTATTTCTGGCTGCCAGAAAGCACAAACACCTCAATTCCACCCCAGGAACTACACGAGCCACCTGAGCTCTGCGGCTGAGGAACATCCTCCACCAGACCAAGGTAAGACACCTTCCCCTTTTTCCTGCTTGTCTCTGCAAAGTGCATGAATTGAGAAATTCAGGGCAGAAATCCTTGCTTACCTTGCACACACAACAGCACTAATGTCTGCTGGGTTTTTTTTGCTCTGCTGATGTTCCAAAGATGCTCATCTTTAAAGGGAGGGTGAGAGAAGAGTTTTGAAACATCACCTAAACTTCCAGGTTTTCCCAATTCTAACCTGTTTCAGCTGTGCCTCTACCAGGACTTATTTCCACCACGCTCAGCTGGGAGCCAACCAGCTCCAAGAAGATATTTCAGTGCTGGGTTTTATTTCTTTTATGCTGCTTGACAGATGACAGGGTTACACCGGCTCCCAAAGACAGACCCATTATGTCTGAGCACAATGAGTTATCCTCTGTGCTCGGCAGCCCTGCTCCAATAAATCACAGGGAACATCCAGCCATTGTCCTGGAGCCAGGCGTGGTGCTGATTTACTGGGGCCAGGCTGTTTGCTTGGGCTTTTTGTTTTAATGTCACCCCAGAGCTTCAGATTCTCTCCCATGTTTAAGGTAAATGCATATACCAGACTCATTTAAGTCTGACTATGGAATAGTGACACTGCTCTGCTTCCTTAACAAACCCAGCGATGCTGAGAGTGAATCTGACCATGTGTTATAAATCCTGGTTCAGGTGAGTTTTCCTGTTTAGATTAATTCATATGAGCAGAAGAAATACACCTTTGTGTAACCTGAACATCGAAACACAGATCACGACAGATTAGAGCTCTCTCTCCACACTGGTGGTTCTTTATTGTACTAAAACCAAAGAGGTAAACAATAAGAGAGGTTTTGAGCAGTCTCTGAGGAGTTTCAGAGCTGCTCTCAGTCCCTCTGCCTCTCGCACTTACTGGTCATCTGGAACCTGCAGTTCACATGGAAGTGATTGCAGAGCTGGTTTTGCACTTCCCCTGACACAGGACTACCTAAAACCTATTTATAGGGGACTTTTTTTGCACAGGCAAAGGGTTCAGGGCAAACTACAACCCCTGACATGCAGAGGTGTGTGATTTCCCCTCACATCTCCGTGTGGATCAGCCTGTAAGGAGTGTAACACAGAGAGATGGAGACCTTGTTTCCATGGTAACAACACTTAAGACACATCACCCTGAAGATGCTGCCACGTCCTTTGGCTGCTTTAGGACACTGAGCTGTTGGTGCCTTTGATGGAGCTGTTCAATACCTGCAGGAGAAGCCCAGAGCTGTGGCTGGGAAATCACTGCCCCGCTGGGCATCCCTGGATTTCTGGGAGCATTCAGGGAGCAGCAGACACAGGATCAGCTGTTCAGGTGACCCAGAACATTCAATTACATCAATTCTAAGACTAAAGACTGTGCAAAACCTCTGGATGGCAGGGAACTGAATGAGGTAATATATCCTCATGGACAAATATCAGATATATATAAGAATATTGGATAATATATCCTCATAAGAGTTTTTGAGGCCCAACCTCTGATGGTAAAGCAAAGATGCAGAGGAAGAAAAATGAACAGCTTTTCACAATTTTTATCTCCAGAATCAATTCCTTCTGAAGGAAGAGTTGCAGGTCAACTTGGCATTGTGGAAACTAAGACACAACAGCCAAATTCCTGAGCAAGGTAGTGTTATCCTTGGCTACTATCTCCTCCCAGTGCAGTGCCCCAGGTATAGCCATGGTTATTCCAGATTCTCCAGGGGAAATATGAAAAAAAAAAAATCAAATACAGCCTCCCAGGCAAATGAGGCACCAGCTGTACTATTTGCTGTCCAGGGCTGGAACACTCTGACCATAAATTCCTCCCAGACTTGAGATTTTTTCCCAAGGAGAAAAGCATTGCATAAAACTGCAGAGCAGCTCCCTGTCTTTCTTCAGGAACCACGGTAGTTCTGTGTGGCTGGGGAAGCCTTAGGGCTGAGGAAGCACCTTTTCAGTGAATATTCATATGTGGAGTCCTGCAGTTCACAGTGAACACATCCTAAAAACAGGCAGTCATCCAGCCTGGCTGCTCCAGCCCCATCCCTCCAGGATCCAAGTGTAAAAATCTCTGATCTGAGGCTTTTTCCAAACTGTAACTGAGAGCTCTTTACACATCCAAATTCCGGTAACAGGAGAACCTCCTTCACAAAGTTACAAAGTAAGCAAAAAGGGAAAAATCCTTTCAAAGCAGCCCAACCCAAACAGCGAAGGCCTCATTGCTTCATATGTTTTGAGTCCACACTGCTTTGGGGAAAGAGGATGTTTTCTAAGAACTGAAAACCCCCACTGTTCCTCAATTTCTGCAAGAAAAGTTCCCCAGATCAGTGTTCACCTTCTCTGTATTGCAAGAGAGATGATGCTTTTTAAGCTGCTTTGTAAAATGAGGGGCTAATGGACTGTGGAGTTGACCAGCAGGTGAGAGACCAGCACATGGAAATTCCTGCAGGGAATTCCCCTGTGATTCAACGGGGAATAATTCAGCTGAATGTGAGATTTAGGAAAAAGTAAATGACAAAACAACCCCATTCCACTTTGCAGCATCAAGTCTCCTTTGCCAGAGAGGCTCCAAGGTGATGCTGAGAGTGTCAGAAACCAAAGCAGGTCTGTCCCCTCAGAAGCAGGGAGCAGAACAGGGACCTTGCTGCACTGCCAGGATGATGGATTGCCCTATTTCAGTGACCACACAAAGTTGCTCAAGACAATCAAAATTAATGATTCTGCAAATATGTCCTTTACAGTTGCTGCTGCTTCTTCTCACACAGAAGGGTTGTTTTTGTTTGGGTTGTTTGGGGTTTTTTTACTTCCTTACAGCCCAGCAGTAGGAATAAGGCTCTTAGATTCTTGGCATCTTAACTCTGCAATTCCAAAATGGGCAAAATAATACCCTGCAGTATCTTATAGCCATGGTACAAAAATAACTACCTTAAATCTCCAAAAATAACTACATTAAAACCTGAGATACCTGCAGTGCTATGGACCTCAACCAGGAGGACCCTCCTCAGAGCCACCCTCGTTGCAAGGTACCAGCAAAACTGCTCAGCAGTAAGGAAGACTCACATACACAGGAAACGAGTCTTTTTTAGCTGTAGAACTTTCTGCAAACAGAAATGAGGGATGATTTAAATCTTCATTAAATGCATAGTTTTGTCCCCATGAGCGACCCTGCCTTCTGCAGCTTTTTCTCCCATATGGATACCCAGGATCTGCACGTGCCCTTCAGATCCCTGTGTTCTCATCCTCCTCCTCAGCTGGTGGGATGAGAATAGCTGCCTTCACACTCGACAGAAGCCTGAGATAACATGACTCCGAAAAAAAAGGCAAATTCTCACAGGGATTTTGAGGCAGAATCCTGACTGGGAGAGGAGACTTGGACTCCTGGCAGAAGAAACTGGTGTTCATTGTCTCCTACCCTTGGAACACTGTGTGTACATTCCCAAATCAGGGCTGCCACAAAGGAATCCCTGCTCTGCCCTCAGCACCTCCTCCCGAGCACACACAGGGCTGGGAGCGCAGGTCGGGAGAGGCACAACCTGACCATTTATCCACTGTGAACTCGGGCAGCTCTGTGACAAACCCCCCAGACACCGACCTGCTTCTGCCTCACTGCAGAGCCGGTTCTGGGGAAGAACAAAACCAACCCCCAGGGGAATCACACTCCTTCCCTGCCCTTTTACCTTTCCCGGTTGTAACCAGACGGATTCCCCGGCAGCAGCACAAGGGACCGGGGTGCGTTGCCCACAACAGCCCATAAATCCTGTTCCCAAACCCAAGCCGTTCCCACACATCCCAGCCCAAAGCCGCGGCCGCTCTCGCAGCCGGAGGGTTTCGGTGGGTTACCCCCTCCCCTGTGGCCCTTGAGGGCTAGCAGGGATTTGCGGGAAGCCGGGGGGACTCTCGGGAGAAGCCGCAGCAGCTCCAGCCCCGCTCCAACCCCTCCTCCCGCGGCTGCCCGGGCTTGGGATCTTTTCCATTTCCCTGGAGCCGGGAAGGGCGCAGGGCTGAGCTCCCGCTCCGAGCATGGCTCGGGGGGCTCCGAGGGGCTGCCGGGCACAGCCTCCTGCACACCCGGGAGCCCACGCGTGTCCCGGGAGCTTCCCACCCTCCAGACCCTCCGCCCGCGCCGGAGACCCCGCTCGGAGGCACCGGGAAGGATCCCGGGGTGGATTCCCCGGCTGGTAACGGAGCCCCGCGGAAGGAATTCCTCAAAACAGCGAGAGACTTCCAAAGTGGGGGGTGGAAGGCGGCAGTTTTCCCCCTCCTTCCCCGTTCGGGAGAAAGGAGCTGCCCAACCTGGTCATGAGACTCTTCCACACTTCCCAAAGAGGCTCCTGAAGTTCTGGCGCTGCAGCACTGGGAGCCCGGGGCAGCCAGTCCAGCGCAGCCCCGCCGAGGGCACACACAGCTCGGGAGATGGAGAATGAGGTTGGCAAATCTGTGGACAATCAAATGGACAAATACATGTAATAATTTGGAACTTTCCTCTCTCCCTTTGCTTTTATTCTGCTTCCTTTTCCTCCCTGCTTTCTCCTGCTTTTACCCTTGCGCTGATTTAGCTGTGCCCTTAATTCTTTTTTTTTTACCCTCCCCTCCCCGATTTAGAGTTACAATAATGGGGAAATCAGAAAGCCAAATGGATATTGTGGAAAAATCAACGAAATCTGGGAAGAAGCCCTGGAGCTTTGTGGCACTGGGTCTGGCTGTCCTGCTGCTCCTCATGACTTGTGCCGCCGTCGCCCTGGTGATCCTGTATGCCAGCAGCAGAGGTAAGAACCTGGGAATGATTCTCCTCTTCCCTCTGCAAACAGCATACAAGTCTTTTTCTTCTTTTTTTTTTTTTAGTTCAGAGATAAATGAAAATAAAATTCCAGGGGGGACAGTGAAGTCACCTCTGTGAGGGATGTGGCTGTCTCTGCCTTGTTCCCAGCTTGTGCATAGAGATTGTGTTGGATTTTACTTAATTTTTAAATTATATGATGTAAGATTCTGTGTTTTCAATGAATTCCATGCATTTTGTTGAATTCAGCATTGTTTTGAGAAAGATGCTGCGCTGTTTCAGGGGGAGGGTGTGTGTCTGTGTGTAAGGATTGATAGTTCCTTACACAAGAAGCACAAGCCAAGATTCATCATTGTCAGGATTTTTAAAGGAGCAGCTGCTTTAAAACACTTTTTAAAACAATCTCTCTAAAGGAGAAATTGCTTATTAAAATGTGAAAGCTTTAAAAAACAATGCCACTTCCTGCTGAGGAAAGAAGAGACTTTTTCAATATTCCACCAGGCAGTTGGATCTCTGAGTGTGATTTGGTTCAGTGACTTTAGTTCAAACATCTTGCTGACACTGATGCACCTTATTTTGAGGTGTTCTGCCTGAATATTTCAGCTACAGAGCACACGAACTAAAGCTGAAGTTTTTTCCCACCAGCACACCTGCTTTAAAATCCTGTGAAGCATCAAATGCCTGTGTTTGTCATTCCCATTAAAGCCTCTTGGATTCACATCTCTGCTAAAACGCTGGAGAACAGAACTAAAGCAGGAATAGCAAACCTGGAGAAGGCACTGCTGTGTCCTTCCCCTGTCTCTGCATCCCCTGCTGCAGGGAACTGCGTTTTCAGCACTTGTAAGGGAAACACTGCACAATTCTGGGCAATAACTCCTGGGAAAAGCCTTTTTATTGTTCGCTCCTTTTGCTACCAGCCGTTGAATGTTGGGTGAAATCTGAGTGTTTGGTATCCGTGAAGTTCATCAGAAAGTTTGTTCTACCAGCTCAGGAGATGGGAGGAAAGAAATTCCCCAGGGAAAGGTACTAGAGGAGGAGTTTCTGTGTCAAATATTGAGCTCTGTGGGGATTTGCTGCCTAAATAATTCAGGTGTTAATATTTGTTTGCTGCCTGAATAATTCAGGTGTTAATATTTGGTCACACATTGGTCTCACCCAAACACACGGAGGGAGCCAGCGATAACTACGTTTGTTTGCTGGAAAGCTTCTCTGGGAGAAAACAAGCCTAAAATGTAAATATTTTGCATTCTTGTATGGCCAGTTAAACTCTCCCTGGAGGTGTTTCCCAGATTCAGACATTCCTGGGCAGCAGGAGTGCCAGGCACTGCAGAGCTGATGTGCTGCCTGTCCTGGGCTGGTTCCTCCCAGCTGGATGGAGGGGGTTTGACCCAGAGCCCCTCTGTGCCTCTGCTCCCCCTGAGCACACACAGCTCATCTCCTGCTCCAGGGGACACCCGGGGTGGGCTCACCCTGGAGCAGCCACGAGCTTTAGGAAATTCCAGGTAGGAACCGAACAGGAGAAATGTCACCTTTTAGTGGGTGTCTGCGTGCCCTGTTTGGGTCTAAAGCCGGGGCAGGAAGAGCTCTTCAGGCTGTTCCTGCAGGAGAAACATTTGTCTTTTTGTCTCAAAAAGTTTTGTCCCAGTGCTCCCCTTGGCCCTGTTTTGCTGTCACCCCCGGGCCCATTCCCAAAGCTCAGCCAAGAGCCTGAAGTCTCAGACTCACCAGGGGAAAAGCACTTATGGCTCAAAGCTGTGCAACATAAATCCCACACAGCAACAGGAGAAAACCAGTGTAGCTGAGCAGCTTTCATGTGGTAGAACCCAGAGTGTTATCCTGGGGTTGTTCTGTTTCTAATTTCACTCAAATGTCGATTTTGAGGTGAGAATGGGACACTGGATTGTTCACTAAGAGCAGATTCAGATCTGCCACTTCGTCTCTGTACATCCCTGATCACGCTGGCACTACCCAGCCTCTAACAAATAATTCTGTTCAGCTAGTAATTAGAAATTAAATTAGAAAATTAAATTAGAAAGACAGAAGGATTACCTGTCCTGCCTTGCATTGTCTCTTTTTTTAATACAGAAAGGCATATATAGGCTTTGTGCTTCAGGAAGACTATTTCTGTTCTGCTTGCACAGAGCTCACAGAGGAGCATTGTGGTGCATGAAACAGGCCCCTGGGTACAGCAGTAATTCCTGTAGTTCTGTTAAAGCTGACTGGGATTTTTATCTCTATTCCCAGCCAACAAAAACACTGGAGCTCTCACAGCAGTGCAGTTCTACAGTCCCAGAGGCAGTCTGGGGATGCTCGACATCCAAGGAAGTTTTCATGCCCAAAAAAACTCATCTAAACAAGCTAAAGGAAAATACAGGAAGAACAGAGTAATATTTGGGTGATCACAGCAAGGGAAGCAGACAGGACTGAAGTCACTGGGTTTGGACCTGAGCACTCCACACTCTCAGTCTTTCCATCACACCCACACGTTCAGCTCACAGCCTTTCCACAGCTCCCTCCCAGCTCCCTTCCACAAATATTTACCAAACTCCAGATCTCAGCACTTGTTGGAGAGGTTACAGTCTGAAGAACATTTCAGCACTTATTGTAGCTGACACATCAAATCAGTCAGCAACTTCTTCAGGCAACTTAGTTACCAACCACTTCCATCCTCACCCAACTGCCGGTCCGGTAATGTCTTCTTTCAGTGACATTTTATTCACTTTCTGGCTTCCAAGTTCCCTTCTCAGAAGCCAGACTCACAGATATTTATTTCTGTGTGCCTGCATCCCCTCAGGTTGTCCCTGCTGGCTGTTGGGAAGCTCAAGGTCATGCTCTGCTCTGTCCTCTTAGGTTGTAAACAGAGAAGAATCCAACCCTTGGTCTAAGCAACTCCTCGCCCTGGGGGTTTCCAAAAACCCACATTTTCTTCCTACATTTTCTATGTTGTGAGTGTGGGTTTTGCACACTTGAATAACAGATTTACACAAACCTGCTGACCAGGAGCAGTATCTGAACTGGCCACTGGCACTGTGAGAGGGGGCTGTGGCTGAGCTCTGCTCCTCTCCTGCACTGATGCCCAGATGAATGCTCATTAATTAAAAGCAGCTACTCAGAGCAGATGGGGAATTTAAAGAAGTGGCAGCTAAAACATAAGTCATGGTGATATTTGGGTGGCAAGACCCTTCTCAGTCAAAGTCAGAGGGAGCTCCATGGGTGTGGAGCGTGTCTGGGGGGTGACAGGACATGCAGGGCTGCAAACACTCTTCACTGAGTCTGACACAAATCCTGGCTCAGCCCTGCCTGTAGGTGAGAAATCCTAAGGAAGGAGGAACAAAACCAAAGACTTGTGTTCTGGGCTCCATTTGAAGACCCTGACACCCGGTACAGACCCACCCTCCCCGACAAAGAAAACCTGAGCTTGGCAATTGTGTTGTTTGCTGCAAAAAATCCGCTGGTTTGACAGCAAAAAGAGCAGGTTGCAGTGCCAACAGCACTTCTGCAGAGGAGTTCTGGGGAACAGGGAAGGTGCTGGGAGGTAAAGCTCCCACATGGTGACAACTGTGGCTCTAATTGTTCCTGTGTGTGCCATCCCCAGCCATCTGTGCTCCTCCAAACGTGCTGTGGGGAAACACTAAACACAAGCTGTGAGCTCCAGAGCCCCACACAGCGATTTGCTTTGCTTTTGTTGTCTGACAGGGAGCTTCAGTCAGGCTGTGAAAAGCAACTTGTACTTAAAAAAAAAAATAATTGCCCTTCCAAAGCTGAGCTGCTGAAGGGGCCTGCAGGGCTCCACAGCTCTCAGGAGTCATCCCCACCTCCTGCTGCTGGCCAGGGAACGTGACAGGGCTCGGTGGCTTCTTGTAAAGGCAAATTAAGACAGCAAAATTCTCCACAGTGAGCCCAGAGGGGTCTGAAGCACGTCCCAGCTCTGCCATCTCTCAGGTGAGCCGTTCACCTCCGGAGGAGCATCTGGAGTTGCTTCATTTCCCTCATTTTCTTCCATTTGCTGTAGTCCCACAGCCAAGGTCGTTTTATTTGGCTCCATTAAAGTTTATCTTCCCTGATCAATTCTCTGATGATGCTGTATCAGACTGAAAGGGATGTCAGAGCAGGAGCCTCTATGTCACTGTAACTCAACCTGTCAGCACCGTCTGACTGGGGAGAAAAACACAGAGAATTACCTGTATTTATACTGAAAAGTTGGGCTCTTGTTTTAGCAAAGGGCTCTGACAAAATGAAGCACAGAGCTGCCTGGCTGAGGCTGCACAAGGTGCACTGTTATGTTTGATTGCAGCTGTTTGAAGGTGCAGGTGACAGAGGCTCAGTGGAGTGAGCAAAGACCTGACAAACCCCCTGCAAAGCCAGACAGGGCAGTGCTGGTCACCTCTCACAGGCCAGGTGGGGTCTGTGTCAGGAAAGGTGCTGAGGAATAAAGGACATAATTGACAGAAGGACAAAGGAGACACTTTCCAAGCCCCTCACCAGCTGCTCCTCCTGATCTGGTTTCGTGGCAGAGTTTCAGAGCCCTGAGTGTCCAAACCAGCTCTGGCTCCCCTGGTTATCCAGCTCAGTTACAGCTTCCCAGTCCCCAGGGCTTTGGGAAGGGGGGAGTCTGAGCCTTGTTGAAAGCAGTTGGGTTCCAGAAACTGGAGTCAGACGTTGTCAGGTTACATTAAGAGCAGGAGCTTTGACTGAAAAAAAAAAAAATTATAAAAGAAAAAAGGCTTCACTTGAGTCCTGCCTGGTCCCTGAGAAACAATGAGAAGCAGAGAGTTCTTGTAAAACAGGTATTTCTGTCTCACCTTTGCTGTTGCTCCTTTACAGAGAATTTCCATCTGCCTTTGAACTACTTATTTCTTTTCTCAAAACTCTTATTTTTTTTTTCCTTGAAAATACCCTGGGCTTTTAGGTTTGATTTTGCTAATTGTTTAATTAATAGAGAATTTAGGAAACTCCAAAAATTGCTCTTAGCTTCAGCCAGCACAAAAAAAAAAAAAACCAAACCCCTGACAGATACACCAAAAAAGAAAAAAAAAAAAAGCTAAACCATCTATGTGAAGCTTCACATTTTTACCCGTATTTTGCTCATCCCATGTTGAGGTTGCCAGCCCCCAGCCACAAGACACAGAGTTATTCTCATGCAGATGTGCTCAGCTGGGCCCCCATCCCAGTGGGGGCTTTTTGTGTCACTCCCACTGATGAACTTCAAAGCCCTCTTTTCTCCCCCACTGTTTCATTTCTCTCTGAATTACTGTAATCTTGTTTGCTCTCATGTAAAGCACTTGCTTTCATTGACAGGAATTCTCTAGTAACTCTTTACTGCAAACATCCCAGTGCAAGGATCAAAAAAGGATTTTAAAAAATATCTAATCCTGTTGGAAAGTATCAACTTTTGTTTTCCAGTGTGGAACCAAGTAGTTGTCTGTTTAACATAAGTGGATACCAAGCTGGTCCAGTTTCACAAATAGGAAATTAAACCATCAGAATTCATTTCCTTCTCCCAGGGCCAAGGCCACTCCTCAGTCTGGGGGGCTCAGATACCCCAGATTCGAGTCTGTCACTCCTCCACTCCCCAGCACACACACACTTCAAGAAATAAAAATCATTTCTTTTTCCTAATTTGATCTTGGTGGCTCAGAGCAGTGGGAAAGCAGGAATGCAGCTCTGGGCTTTTCACCCCCTGTTTAAATCTCTTGGATTGAAGCTCATGAGAGAGCTCAGATGCTCAGAGCATCTCAACAGATTGCCTAGAAAGGGATCTCGTAGTTTGAGTTTGCATCAGAAAGTCTGTGGAGGCAGCAGGTAGAAAAAAATGGTCTCATTGTCCTTCCAGGAGAGTTAAAACTCACTGTCAATGCTGTTGTAATGCTGCTGCCAATAAATTTTCCTCATAAATCTCCAGATAAAAGATTTCCTCGCAGTTGTCATTCAGTGTCCTTGGCACTGATGTTCAGTCACTCCCTCCAAACCAACAGAGCTGTCACAGGCTGGGCTCAGGTGAGTGACCTCGGTGGCAATTCCCTTCCTAAACAACTAATTCCATGTCCTTTCTCACCCCTCTCCCTGCAGGAACTCACTATGGCACCAACTCAGGCACCATATGCACCACCCCTGGCTGTGTCACGGCAGGTAAGGGGGTCCCTGGGAGGGATTATTGCACAGGGGGTGTTTTATGTGCTGGTGCTGAACCTGAATAAAAGGTAATTCAGGATTTAAGGCTGAAGTTGAAAAGGAATGAGATTCCCCCTTGGCCAAGAGGTATCATCCATAAGGAAGCAGTACAGGAAAATTGCCAACTGTGGCCAAGAGCCCTCTGGCCTGAGCCACAGGGACATGGACTGGGCAACAGTCTGTGCCTTGGGATGGGAAGAATCCCTTTAGAATGAATTTTCTCTGTGAGTACATTCTATACGTGGGGCATTCACCCTCTTATTTTTGGCATCTACAGCTCAGGAGAGGTGAGACTCCAGCAGGAGTGTTCCCAGTTCTCCCCTGGAACACTGTTTCTTAGGCAGGTGCCTGAGCTGGAGCACAGGGGAGCCCTGGGCAGCACCCCATGCCTGCAGGGCACTGTGCTCTGGGAGAGCTATTCTGCCACTCAGAGGCTCCCAGGCATTTTTAAGCAGAAAATGGGATCCTTCAAGTCCCAATACATGGGAATGACTCTTGCCAAGCAGCTCCTTGATAGGCTTTGGTAGTGCCAGAGATCACTGGGCAGCCTGTGGGATTCAGCTCTCCAATTTTGGTCCCCAGCTGCCAGAATAATCCAGAACATGGACCCCGCAGCTGACCCGTGCCAGGATTTCTACCAGTACGCCTGTGGGGGCTGGCTGAGCAGGCATGTCATCCCAGAGACCAGCTCCAGGTACAGCATCTTCGACATCCTGAGGGACGAGCTGGAGATCATCCTGAAAGGTGGGAACGAGGCTACTCCATCCTCACACTCGTGTCTGGTGTCAGGGGTTATTGGCTACACATCACACAGAGAAATAACCCTGCAGAGAGAAGTGTGGAGTGTAATTTTTTCTCTCTGGTCCTTTAATCTCTACATCTCTTACTGCCCCCATTTTGTAAGAACATCCTGTTCCCACTAAAAATTAGCCACAGGTGATTTGATACTAACTTCAAAAGGAGCAGGACGAGCCTGCACATCCTTCCTCCTGACACTTTTGCCATTAATAGCTCCTCTAAAGGGCTCTCCAGTCTCACAGTAATTGCAGGCTACAGAAACAAGTGTTTATCATAGCCCTGAATTCTCAGGGATTTCTGTGAAATGATCAAAGCTCTCTAGGGCACAAATCTCATGGCAATGGTTCCTTCCCCAGGTGTGCTGGAGACTTCAGATCAAGGGGACAGAGAGGCATTTCAGAAAGCCAAAATCCTTTACAAGTCTTGCATGAACGAGAGTGAGTCTCTTCTTGTTCCATTGATTCCCGGGTTCCCTACTGAGTGTACAGAAGCACCAATGTCCTGTTCAGTCCAGTCAATACCTGTCTAACCTCTGTGGACCTGCCTGGAAAGCTCATCTCCAGATGGGTGAAGGTGCCTGGGTGCAGCATTAAGGCCTAATGTGCACATTTGGGAAGGGGAGAGGATGGAGGTTGGGTACCTGCCCCTGGGGTGGAAGCCAAACCTTCCCTTCAGAATGCACAAACCTGTCCCAGTTCATCCTTCCCAAACCAGTCCAGTAAAAGTCAGCACTGGAGCCTCAGAAGTGTTTTCATTGCTTTTCTGAAGGCTGATGCAGGGCACAGGTGGTTTCACGGTGTCTCTGCTTTTGGACTGTGACAAATTCAGTTTCAGATTTAAACTGTCAGGCCCATTACCTGTTTTTCTGTGAAAACAACACAGCATTTGTCTTTCCTCTCTCAGGCCTTATAGAGCAACGAGATTCTTTGCCTCTGCTGGAGGCCTTAAGGATGGTTGGAGACTGGCCAGTGGCTTCTGCAGACTGGAATAAAACCAAAGGTAATGCTGGGCCTGAAAGGGTTCAATAATGTGCAGTCAGAATCATTTCCTGCACTAGGGAGGCCACTGTCACTGAATTAAATCCCCCATTTTCACTTTTTCTTCATCAACAAGAGTCAGGGGGTCACACATATTTAACACACACACACACACACATATATAGAATTAGATCTAAACAATTTTAGCACAGCAAACTGCACAACTTCAATCAGTCCTGACACAGGCGGATAAATGGTGTTTGTTCTCCCTTTTATCCCCCAGAGCCAAGCTGGAGCATGGAAGAAAAGCTGTCCATAATGAACTCCAGGTTTAACAAACGTGTCCTCATCGACATGTTCGTGTGGAACGACGACCGGGACTCCAGCAGGCACATCATCTATGTGAGCCAAAAATTACAGGGCATTATTTACATCCCAGAATCACAGTGGAGACTTGTTCACACTGCAGACAGATGAGATTCCCACTGCACAGCACTGGCCAAATGCAGGGAACAGCCCTGTGCCCCAAGTGACAGACCTGTCTCAAAGAAATATTGGGAAAGGTTTTGTGGCAGCTTTTTTTATTTTTTTTTTCAGTAAAAGAAATAAAAATCAATGGAACTTTGCTGATTTACAGCATTTAAGGGCTGTAAATTCTTGTGACTTACAAAATGATGGTGAAGTTTAACATGTAGCAGGAAACCATGGGTCTAAAATATGTAAATAATATTTCAGAGTTTGTTCATGCAGCCAGTCCAGCCCTCAAGTCAAGCAACTTAGAAAAGTTGCCCAAATCTATTCTTGGATCTCAATGGGGACTGAAAGATTTTCTCATTAACTCGCACTAAAATCCATCCTGTCCTTACCCAAAAATCCAGAGACCAAAGTTGTACCTTCCACCCCCCCAGTCCTTGGAGAGCTGCAGTTCTCTGGCTGTTTGGCTGCAGTGTCATTCCAGCACTGGAAGGATGGAACAGCATCTCATGTTGCCTCTCAAGGATTCCTTTGGACAACCCCAGTTCCTGTCCATCACTAACCAGAGAAATGTGTTTTCCTCCAGATTGACCAGCCGAGCTTGGGAATGCCATCCAGGGATTACTACTTCAATGGGGGCAACTATCAAAGGGTGAGTGTTCCTTGTAATTTATTTACCACGTGCCACTAAAACAACTTTATTACTTATCCCTGTGCTTTGGAAAACTCAAATATATTAATCTTCAGGGCATGTAACAATCAGAGTTGGACTGTGACATTCATTGCTACGTTTTTTCCTAATTATGCCAAAATTTTGTCACGTTTACAAAAGGACTGAACAACTGTATAAATATCAAGCCTCCCCAGAATTGGCCAACCATAAAGAATATTATGGGAAAACAAAATCATTAAACAGTCTCTAATTCTGAAGGACAGGGTTCACATTTTCAGTGCAGGTTGTCTTGGATTCCCTTGTATCTTCCTCTAAATCCACTGATACTCAGCTAGTAAGAATCTGCTGCCACCTACTCTCCCCTTTTCCCAGAATTACAGGAAAATTGTGAGAGAAGATTTTCTAGCTGTTTTTCTCTGCCAATGCTCGGGGCAAAAGCACTGATTGTGCAAAAACTCTGTTTCTGTAAATACACAGAAAGCTGTTGCAAACAGAGCCAGATAATTTATCTGTTTCCAAGATGAAAATTCTGCTTTAGTACATTGTATTTCCCTCAATTATGTCATGCTAACAAAGAGTATTTGCAGCCCAACATCAAACCAATTTTCCTAACAAGAATGGAAGGGAAAACAGAGGGACAACAATCAGCATTTGAGACTCTTTTGTCTCGTGGTTGTAAGGGCAGATGAAAACATCAGTGGGAAGAGTTTGCTTCTTACTTTGGTGTATTTGACTATATTCTCACAGATAATACAGCTTAAATACAGCCCTGTGAGGTTTGCACAGGATTGTTTCTGCACCTTCTGGGCACCTTTACAAGCTGCCAACTCCTGATCCAGAACAACCTCCTGGTAGCTGTGCTGGGAGCTGCTGGACCAGGAGTCTGTCCTGCAAGTGTCACCTGGACAGAGCAGTCACAGCAGAAAAGAGGGATATTGATGCACTGGTGCAGGAAGGTCAGGCATAGATTGACTTGTAGGAGATAGAAAATCAGGTACAGTGCAGAGACCATCCCAGATTAGCAAAAGAAAACCATCTCTGCTCGATACAGCTTTAATTTGAAGCCATAAACCAGCGTGGGCAAGGCTGTGTCTTTAATTCTAATGACTAAGGAGGAGACACAACCCCTTTTTATTTGCTATTTACCAGCTCGCTGCCCCCAGACAATGACCCAACTCTGATGACCCAAACTCCCCCTGTGCTTTAGTCCAGCATCCTTTGGCAAAGCTCCTCCTGAGGCCTGGGGGAGTCTGGCCTGATTAAGGGCTCAGCCTAAAACCACAAATCATCGTCCTGTAAGTGCCCAGACACAACTTCACAACAGTTACTGTGTTTATCTGGTTTCCAAGGTCTCTGGAGGAAGAAAAGTGTACTAGAAGAACAGGTGACTTTAAGTTTTCCTGCATCAGGGGTCAGTACTCCTTCAGCAGCCAAATATCTTTTCAAAGCCCTTTCTGGGGCATGAATCAGCCAGAACCTCCCACCAGAAATAAAGCAAAGGTATCTCTGGAACTGTTTGAGATGGAGCTTTTGTCTCAGACAGTGAAACCAGAGTTGAGAAGATTTATGGTTTGCTTTCAGAGGACTCAAACCTTCCACATTTACTCTGGGATTTTGGCTGGTGGGGATCACTGTTCCCACAGGGTAACTCAATTCACGGAGCCTTCTCAGCAATTCTAACTCAGAGTGCCAGAGCTGCATTGCACAGGGAAGCAGGAAGTGTGTTTTGAGGCTGGGAACTGCCCTGCAGGGTATTCCAGGCTGAACTGAGCTCCAAGGTGTGGCAGTGGTATCTACTACAGGAAAAAAAACCCCTCAGTACTGCCCACACCCCCTGTGTCCTGTGTGCAGGTGAGAGAGGCTTATCTGCAGTTCATGATCACCGTGGCCAAAATGATCCGGGAGGACCAGAACGTGTCTAGAGACGACTCCTTTGTCCAAGAGGAGATGACAAAGGTGATGGAGCTTGAAACAGAGATTGCAAATGTGAGTACAGAGCTCCAGAGCTCAGGATGCCAGGGGATGAGGGGGCAGATCTCTTGATGTTTGTGCAGCAGTTTTCAACCCAGCACGAAACCCACGGCCCAGAAAACAGGGGGAAGAAGAGTTTTTGTGCCATGAACAGCCCAGAAATCAGTGTCCCTGTGTCTATAACAGACTGCTGAGTACACTGCTGTGCTGCTCCAGTCCTAGCTGTGTTTATGTTTGGAACTCTTCTAAAGCAGGATAACCCATCTTCTGCTAAACACACACTGTGAGAACACCAGGGCTTGCTCCCTCGCATCCTTAGAAATCTACAGCCCCCTAAAAAACTCCCAGAGCTTGCTCTGCCATTCTAGAGGACAGAGGGAACCCCTTGGCTCAGCATGTCACTAAAATATTATTGAATAGCAGGGACCAGAGTTCCTGCACTGAAATTTAGAGAGCAGCACTGGACACCATCAAATGAGCTTCCTTTCTCCCCAGAAAAATGGTTTATTTGGATGTTATTTGAGTGTGCATTTGTGCACATGCATGTGATTTCAGCCATTGATATTTCTGCCAGTTGAGTCCAGTAATAACCTTGTGAATGTCTCCAGGCAACGACCCCAGCAGAGGAGAGGCACGATGTCACCTTGTTGTACAACAAAATGACCTTAACGGAGCTCCAGGAAAAGTTTGCATTGAATGTAAGTGGCTAATGAGCAGTCTCATACTTTCAGTCTCTTAATTCCAATGGAAGTGGCTTTGTGAATTTGTCAGTGACTCAACAAAGAGGTATAAAATCAATCCCATTCTTAATCTTGTCTTCAGAGTCTCTTAAAAAGCTTCTTTCTGCTGAACAACACTACAGCTGCATTCAAGGCCATAAAACTGTAGAAAGTCCAGTTACTAAGGCACTTAAACACCCACCATTGGCATGTCTCTCTGTCTGCCTAGGAATTTAACTGGACCTTCTTCATCCAAGGTGTCATGTCTTCAGTAAGTGTCCAGGTTGACCCAGAGGAGGAGGTGGTTGTCTATGGCATGCCCTACCTGCAAGAGCTGAAGGCAATCATCTCCAAGTACTCAGCAAGGTAAAAAACTGGAGAATATGCCATCAAAACTCACAGAAATATTGTGGATATGTCAATCATTGGACCCCCCTTTCTAGTTCTGCCAGAGCTTCTCCAAGGAAAATGACAGCCCTGTAAAATATGGGAAATGTCTTTGAAGGTCTTGGAGTCTCAGAGCACTTCAGTACCAAGTGTCTCACCTGCTGCTTGCTTAGAAAAGGTTAAATGGGAAGCAAAAGTACATCACAGGCTTAGGTCTTGTTACATTCCAGAAGGAAAACCAATAGGAAATGAATCCCTGAGCAACAGGACAGTCCAGTCCTTGAGCTGGACAACCCTAATGAAATGAGAACAGTCCCCTGCAGATGCCATGAAACCCAGGACTGGCAGCAGTCATTTGCTTCCTTGTCTCCATCCAAAATTGAGATCCCTCTCTGGCTGGCTGCACTGGTGTTGGTTTTTGCAGGGGATTAAGCTCAGCTCTGCTTTCCCACACAGCACCATCCAGAACTACCTCATCTGGCGCCTGGTGATCGACCGCGTCAGCAGCCTGAGCCGGCGCTTCAAGGACGCCCGGGCCAGCTACAGGAAGGTATTTCCTCCCTGCCTGGACAGCTGGGCTGGAGGAGAGCCCAACAGCTCCAGAGCAAGTCCTTGTTAACACAACCATGGCAGGGGGGTGGAACTAGATGAGCTCTGAGGTCCCTTCCAACCCAAACCATCCCTCGATGCCGCGGTTAAGTCACGTAATCCCCAAACAAACCCCGGGGTGGCAGTGGAAACCTTTGCCTTAGGCTGAGCTGCTGGTTAGGGGAGGATGTGGAGGTGCACAGGCAGGGCCAAAGCTGTGCTTGGTGCTGCAGGCTCTCTACGGGACGACGCTGGAGGAGGCGCGGTGGAGGGAGTGCGTGAGTTACGTCAACAACAACATGGAGAACGCGGTGGGAGCGATGTATGTCCGGGAGACTTTTGCTGGTGAGAGCAAGAGGATGGTATGTAGTTTATACCCTTCGTACTACTGTACCTCCACCGTGCCCACAGAGCCCGTTCCCTCCCGTCTGAGCCCCCAGAATGTTTTGCCTGTGAAAGATCCCCCCCCACGCCAAGAGTCGGAAGGAAGGAGAGCTCGGTTATGATCTCTTTGGAATGCTGAGCACTGTGGTTTAGAGCAGAGAATCTGGGGACATCAGGCTTCAGCAGGAAGCTTTTCACCCCTCCTTAGCTCTGCCTGGGGAGATGTAAATCATGTGAGTGATTCGTGTCTCACTGGTTCTCTTTTAGGTGCGAGATTTAATAGAGAAGATCCGCGAAGTGTTCGTGGAGACCTTGGATGAGTTACAGTGGATGGACGAGGCATCCAAGGAGAAAGCCAGGGAGAAGGTCAGAGACAACAGGGGACTTCAGGATTCCCTTGTGAATATGAAATATTTTGAATTTTGTTGTATCTCTATTTCCAGTTCCTCTACAGAATGGAGGAAAATACTTCAATGTTCATTATTCCATTATCTTATCACACTGTCCTTTCCTTTTAATCCTTTGTTAGCCCACATCAACTAGAATGGCAATTGGACACAATGCAATCCCCCAGGGAAAACATTTCATTGACTTTAGGACCATCAGCACCATTCCAATAGCAAGGGAAAAAAAAACCCTAAACTATTCTATTCAATAAAGTATTGACACTTCATAGAAAACCCACCACACACCAACAAAAACCACAATTAAGGGGAAACACTAAATTCTTTTCTTCTAGGCAATGGCAATCAAAGAACAAATTGGCTATCCAGATTACATTTTGGAAGATCAGAATGACAAGCTGGATCAGGAATATGCCAATGTAAGTATCCTGTGCACACCTCAAGATAAAAGCCTCCACTTATTTTCTTGCCATTTGGAATTTTTATACCTGTACAACTGTCCTTTCCGAGGACATTAAAAAGAACATATTAATAAATAAATGCATGCAGGGAGCCAACTTCTGGTTGATACCATGCAATGAAAAAACCTCTTACAGAGGATACATCCAGTGGTATGAGGAGTCCCTCTTTCTGCACAGCTTACTAATACACCTGGAGCTCTGTTTCTTTAGTTAAACTTCAGTGAACACAATTACTTTGAAAACATCCTGGAAAACCTGCGAGCTGGAGCCCAGAAGAGCTTGAAAAAACTTCGAGAGAGAGTTGACCAAGACATGTGAGTTCCCAGCCAGCGTTTTACAGCCTCAGTCCAAGATCTGGATTAATGGGGAGGGTGTGTAAGTCATGCTGGGGCAGCTGAGAGTGCTTGGGGCTGAGGCAGTCAGGGAATTAAGCAGGTACTTCACTGACTCTGGCAGCAGCAATCCATCCCTTCCCTCAGAATCTCCAGTCCTTCCTCAAGATGTTTCACATTCAGAAATGGCACTGAAATACTTCACACGGGAGCAGTGCCAGACCTTTCTGACAGCCCAGCAAGGAGGGGAGGAGGGAAACAGTGTCATGGAAATTCTCCATCCCAGACAGTGTCAGGAAGAGGGGGTACCAGTCACCACCTTCCACACCAGTGTGGCTGCTCAGCATTCGAGGGGAAAAGCATCTCTCCCTTTACCTGGGAATTGTTTTGGATGAGAGGTGCCCATAAACAGGCCACCAGGTATTTCCTGGTGTCAGGATTTCTTTCCAGCTGTGCTCAATGCACCTTTCTTCCCTACATTAATCCTTTCCTTATACAATTTCCTTAGCAGGATTTTCCTTATCAGCAAATTATATTTCTTTATATATCCTTATATATATTCCTTATAATATATATATTCCTTATAATATATATCCTTACAAGGATTATATATCCATATATATATATATATATATATATATAATGCTTGTAGAGATTATACATCCATAAATATATTCCTTATATTATATATATTTTATATATACATATATAATCCATATAAGGATTATTTCCTTACCATCCTTTGCTATACACACTTTTTTAACAATAATTAAATTAAAAGAATGACTAAAAAAAAATTAAAAATCACTGCTCACTGTGTGCAATGTTTGTTTTTAGATGGATAATTGGAGCTGCAGTGGTCAATGCATTCTATTCCCCCAACAGGAACCAGATAGGTAGGTTTAAACAGCTTTAAACTGCTGCATGGAACTAATTCAGCATTTTTAGCCCCACAGCAGTGCAGCTCTGCATCCAGAGGCAAAGCTGGGCAAAGCCCTCAGCAGCTGGGTGGGTTTTTGCAGAGCTGTGGGCACGACTGGCATCGAGTGCCCTTGGTGTCTGTAGGAATCCCTCCTGGACATGTTTTACACCCCAGCTGTTGTTGGTACCAGCAGATGATTTCTAACATTTCCTTCACCCAAATAAAGCAATAACACATCCATTAGTTCCCCTATAAAATGGCTCTTGCACACAAACTGTGCCTGTCTCCAAAAGACAGCTCCTAAACATTCTGTTCTTGACTCACTGCAGCAAACATTATGCACCAAATTAGGCTAAACTTAATGCAAATGATGCTTGGGCCTCAAACAGGGAGATACTGTAGCTGCAGATGTGCCAAATTAAACCTTTATTAACTTGTCATTTCCCATTTATCAAGAGAGAAACAATTTCACAGGAGGCATGAGCTTGTTTCTAATCATTTTATATTTGGTGTTCCTTCCTGACCCTTACACCAAGCAAACAAGCTGTCTGCCAAGGATGCAAAAATAAAGCCACCTGATGGCATCTCCCCCTCTCTCTCCCTCTTTGCAGTTTTTCCTGCTGGGATCCTCCAGCCCCCCTTCTTCAGCAAACACCAGCCACAGGCCCTGAACTTCGGGGGCATCGGGATGGTCATCGGGCACGAGATCACCCACGGCTTCGACGACAACGGTGAGGAGAGACCTGGGAAAGGGGATTATTTCAGCTCAAACTCCTGGGAAATGGGATTATTCCAGCTCAAACTCCTTCCCCTGTCGGGAATTACAGCGACAGACTGCTGGGCCTGCAGGTCCCTGCACACACAGTCACAGCCTGCCCGGCAGCAGTTCAGGCACACCGGGAACACCCCAGGGATGGCTCTGCAGGGAATGTTCCACGGGCAAACAGGGCACGCAGGAAACCAGCAGATGTCAAAGATAAATTCAGGCAATGGCAGTTCTCAGGAAAAACTGTTACTCTTACAGCATCATCAGATCAGAAACACAAAGCAAGCAGGTACACAGGCTCCCAGAGTACAGTGAAATCAGGGAATGACGTTCTTGGGGCAGAAGAGTTTTCAGTAGTGTCTTGAAATCCCGGGAGATTTTGTTCTTCAACACGAATGCTTGAAATAAATTGACTTTATTATCTTTCTTGAATGCCATGTAAAAATGTTTGGGGCAGAAACTCGCTTCTGACTCCATAAGTCAGTGGTTTTTTTACACGTGGGTTTTCTTCAAGTTGTTTTTTTTATGGTAATTGATCTTGTGCAGATGACACATAAACACACAACACAGCCTCAGAAACTGAGTTCCAGAGCAGAGAAAACCCTTGCTCTAGACAGAGAGTTGAGAACACAAACCCCAGAACTCCAATTCCAGCTTTTAGTTCTCCCTGAACCTCAGTTATGTCACATGGACACACAGAACAAGCACCTAAGTTACCTCAAAGGTGGGGGAAGTTTTGTTCCATGATGCATAATCCAGCTGGAAATAAAACCAGGCCTTAGTGGTTTAGCTGAAGTCAGGGCTGCTGACTGAACAGGAAATCATGGAATAACAGAAATCATAGCTGATCTTGTCCATTCCCTCATGACAAAGGGGATCAGCTGTGCCACAAACATTCCTGAGCATCCAAACCAAAGGAGGAAGGAGGGAGGGCCCAGCTCTGACATCCCAGGTGCTGCCCTGGAAGAACAGTGGCTCCAACATGCTCTCACCGAAAAATTTGCTTTTTAACTTGGATTTCCCTGCAGGAAGGAATTTTGATAAAGATGGGAACATGCTGGACTGGTGGAGCAACTTCTCAGCGCTGCACTTCAAGGAGCAGTCCCTGTGCATGGTGCACCAGTACGGGAACTACACCTGGGAGCTGGCAGGGGGGCAGAACGTGAGTAACAACCACCCCCTCTGCACAGGGCTGGGAACAGGGAATCCCTACAGAGAACACCCCCCAAACCCTACAGCTGGCTGTTCTGGGAACAAGGCACAACAGCAGCCCAGCAAACCCAGGCTCTGTGTGCAGGGAGGTTCTGCCCAGCACCAGCCCAGCTCCTGTTTGTGGTACATTCATACAGAGGGTCTCTAATCTACAGCTTTTTCCCTGTGATTTTTTTAAATTTTTATTCTCTCTTTTCTTGCCCCAGCACAAAGCCATTGTTTGTCTGTGTTGTGTGACTGTGCTTCAGCCTGTGGTTCTTGGAGTTGCTGATTTTACTGGCTATGGAGTAAATAAATGATTGTTTTTCACAGGTCAGTGGCATCAGCACATTGGGAGAAAACATTGCAGATAACGGAGGAGTCCGACAGGCCTACAAGGTAACTCAAACACACTGTGAGTTAACCTTACCTGGCATCCAGCAGTGGGGTTACCCATTCTGTCCTAAAAAAAATGACACTTAACATGTTATTACCACATGCAAAAAGCTAAAGCCTCAGTTATATGTCCAGAAGCTTCTGTTCCCATGGATCCAATCAGAGTAGGACCTGCCATTCCTGGACCCAGGAGCAGCCCAAAGGTGGAGCTCCAGGGTGAGCAGGGAATGTTCTCCCCTACAAATAGCCCTTACAGATGTCCTGGTGCAGCTTTTTTATCTCTGGTGTTTTGAGTATGGCACCAGTTAAGGGTGCTCATAGCCCACCCTGGATTTTCAGAAATCTTAACTGACATTTCTGCCCCTGAGGGACAGCATTCCAATCAATGACTTTGTTAGAATTGTTTCAAAGGCCATTACAGGTGTGCAGGAGCAGAGTGGGATGACACAAACTGCCTGCTTACAGAATCCTGGGACGTTCTGTGGTGCTGGATCTATTTATACCCTCAGCTCTCCCTTTTGTTTCATGTGCTTTGGGACTATCTCAGCAACAGAGAGGCTGCAGAAACAGAACACTGGGAATTAACCAGCGTGAGGACACATTAACTTGTCTCCATCATGTCAATATAGCTAAAAAAGGCAAATTGGCCAATTAATGTGTAACAATAAGAGGTAATGGATTTAACATTGAGCAAGGCTGATATCTGCTATTTTATGAGCAGTTACCTGAAGAGAGAGAAGTCATCACTCTAGAGCTGTGGAGGAGACTTAACACTTTATTTCCAGATACAAATTCCTGTGGAAAGAGTCAATGAAGTCAACAGAGCTTATGCTGACAGCTTTGTCACAAAATTCTCTGTACTCTTTGTATTAGAGAGAGAAAACCCACAGAAGTACAGAAGGGAAACATGTTGGGTTCATTCATATTGTGGCTAAAGCCTCCCACCCCAATAAAACATTCAATATCCCCCTCCTGCTGCTCCTCTCAGCTGGATTTATGGTCTTTTCCAGGCCTATTTGAAGTGGCTGGAACGGGAAGGGAAGGAGCCAAAGCTTCCTGGACTGAACCTGTCCCACAAACAGCTTTTCTTCCTCAATTTTGCCCAGGTAAGAACAGTCAGGGTGGTGCCCCAGGCTCTCAGACTTCAGTTCATGTGAGGAAGGAAACACCTGGTGAAACCACCTGCTAATAGATTGATCCCAAAGCATGAGATCTTGATCCGAGACCTTGTAAAACAAAAACTAATTAATAATACTTGTATCTATTCTGCCTCTCTATAAGACATACTCCAGTGATATCATAACAAACTGGGATGGCTCCTTAGGAAAACTTAGAAAGCCAGTGAGAATGTTCCCAAAATGAACTCCCTGAAACCCTGACCCACTGATTATCAATGCTCCCTGTCCAGGTTTGGTGTGGCTCCTACAGACCAGAATATGCCAGCCAGTCCATAAAGACAGACGTGCACAGCCCTCTGAAGTACAGGTGGGTTTTACTGACTCCTAACTCACTTCATTCACCCCCTTGCACCAAGACAGCCCAGAAGGAGAGTTTTATAACGCACTGGATAAATCCAGACTAGCTTTCAGGATTTCTGCCATGACTGGAGAGCGCATGTACTGGGCCTCCATGTTAACAAGTGTCTTCCCTTTGTTTAGGGTGCTGGGATCCTTGCAGAACTTCGAAGCCTTCTCTGAGGTGTTCCGCTGTAAGAGGGGCACAGCCATGCACCCCGCAGGGAAATGCCGGGTGTGGTAACCAGGGACAGGGAGGGTGACCCGCTCCGGGGCCACCACACACGGCTCGTGGCAGGGACGTGCCTGGTGTTCTCCTGCTCAGTCCCAGCCAGGGCTGACGGGGCAGCTGCTGGAGTGGGAACCCTGGACCCACGGCACTGAGCTGTCCCAGTGCCCCGGGCAGCACACGGGGATCGCAGGAGCCGGGGCTGGGCCGGAGCCCACGGGGTGTTCCCGCCCAGAGCGACTGTTTCCAACGACATCCCGACTGTTATCAAGACACTGCATCAGGGCTACAAGGACTAATGCTTAAGGGAAAACAAACCCAACAAACAGCCACAAGTCTATTTTTCAGAAAGGAACAATAATTTTAATATGCCAGCTCCGCCTTCTGAGGCTCAGCAAACCTGTCTGAGGTGTTTCACTGATCCGTTCCCAGTGTTCTGGTCCACTTTCTGGTGCATTCTTCCCCAAATCAGGTTAGAGCTGCTGTAAACTCTGCTGTGTGTACCCCTGCACTTTGCTTTGCTGTCAGAGATCGCTGTTTGTCGTGACATGTCACACAGTGAGCCCTGTGTCGAGATGCCTGTTGCACTCTCCTCCTGCACTCGAGTTCCTCTGCTCCAAAGAACAACCTTCAAGTGACATATCACTGGAATGATCACGTTTTAGGAGTACAAATTCTGTCTTCATGGTTAAATTACAGGGTCCCACCCTTCAGAGATATATTTAAAATTATGCTTATTCTTGTAGAAAGTGTATAAAATACTTTTTGCCAAATAGCAAAACATGTATCCATGGAAACAATTAAGCTGGTTTTAATCCTGTGCCTTTTCGTTTTGCCATAGGCTATTTTTCAGTATTTACACTTGAAAATGTAACATGCATTAATTTTTAATAAAATTTAAAACAAAAAAAAATCACAGTGGCCAATCCAGCAAGGATTTCCCTACGGAGAGGGTTGGGTGGCTTTCCTTGGTAAACGTCCTACCATAATGAGAATATTTTAAACTTTCAACACTTCACAGTGAATTTTAAATACTCTTTCAGCAAATGCTTTTCTTTCTAGCACAGAAATCCCTGGAAAGCAAGGCAGTAACTGCTTGTGTGAAGTCATGGTGGGATTCCTGGGGTGTCCTGTGCAGGGCCACGGGTTGGACATGATGGTCCTTGTGGATCCCTTCCAGCTCAGGATATTCCATGTTTCTAATGCTTACAAAGTGCTAAATCACACTATTCCTTTGCTTTCCTGATCTCAGCACCCCACTGGCAAAAGGTTTGATCCTGTAAAGTCAGATTGGCACAGAACCCCCCTCTAAAAGTCCAAGTTGTTTTGCTTTGTTGTTACTGTGTTCATACGCCAGATTTGGCCTTGGGAATTGCCTTCTTCACATTTGTTCACTCAAGTCTCAGCAGAGGGACTGAGAAACTGCCCAACCCTGGACTGAGAAGGGGGGTCACTGCCCCTCAGGAGGGAACTGGGGTGAGGGACAGCAGGGTGTGTGTGCCAGGCACAGGAAGGGGCTCAGAGCCCTGGGAGCTCAGGGGCAGGAGGTCACAGGGCCAGTGTCCTGACTCTGCAGAATCATTCGGCTCTGGAGACAGGCCATTGGGGTTCTGGCACATCACCTGGTAAAGGATAATTAACATGTGCCTGGAAGGGTTTATTCCAAGGGATCATCACAGCACACGGAAGTGTCTTCATTTTTTAATCTGAGTTTATCCCACCTCCCACCTGCAGAAGACTCTTCCCAGCTGTCACTTTGTGTCAGCGCCAAGTGCACAGAACTCCAACCTCCCCTCACAGCCCCGGCCTCCCCTCACAGCCCCAACCTCCCCTCACAGCCCCAACCTCCCCTCACAGCCCCCCTCCTCCGCTGTTGTACCCCCTCTGCACTCCCACTCCCCTCCCCATCACAGCCCCACCTCCCAGCAGCCGCTGATGACCGCGGTGAACCAGGACTGGAGAGAGAGGCTCCAAATGCCCAGGAAAGGGCACTGAACTGCTCTTGACCACTGCATTACTTTTCCACAATCATAAAACATTTCAGCCTAGTGGGAAATCCTGTACCCAGAGGTGTTTCTCTGCATTTCAGACTTGTGGGCAATTAGGCATCAGGGAAGCTTTATTACACCCTTAGGAAAAGAAGGACGATCCCGGTGGTTTCCAGAACGAGGAACATCAAGACTTTCCTTCTCCCATGCTGCCACCTGGCGACAAACCCGGCTTCCAAAACACACCAAAACACACATCCAACAGGAGCAGTTTTTTTCAGGCTCCGTGGAACACGCACTCGGTGCAGACATTAAACACCCTGCTATGGCAGCACCCAAATATTTCATTTCTAGCTGGTAGATGGGTGGCCCTGGTTGGTGCTGCACCTCCTTACCTGGCTGTGCAGAGCTCGCAGCTCACCTACAGCAGCTTCTGCCTGCAAGTGAAGTCACTGAAAGTCACATAATTATGGGGTTGGAGGACAGATATTTCTTTGCAAAAACATCTTTGGAGCAATTGCTGCCTGAACACTAACAAATCCCTCCTCCTAATGACAAACTTACTGAACAACAGCAACATTGAACTCCTTTCCCTCCACAAGATCTTCACCTGTTTTCACAGCTGTTTATTTACCTCAGTAAATTTATTATCACTTTATTAACAATTCAAAAACGACACAGTCTGTAAAAGCCACAGGTCACAGAGGTGCAGGTGCAGCAGCAGGATGACAAAGAGGGCCTTCAGCAACAAGATAAGTCATTAGACAATAAAAAAACCCCTAAAACACAACTTAGCAGAAGATTGGTTGTAGTACAGAGATGGCTGAAGGTGCCCTGTCATTGTTCTCTGAACTTTCTCCCCTTGGGGATGCAGTTTTATCTCAAAAGTTTGCTCAAAAAGCTTTTTCTATTTACAATGGACCCTTCATGCACAGGTGTTGCAGAGAGACGAGAAGGAGTTAACAATTACCAGTTTCTACAGTTGGAAATGTTGGAAAATATCCAAAGTTAATGAAACATTAACCAGCTACTAAAGAACTCACCAAGGAGAAAAAAAGTCAGGAACAAAGATTTGTACTTTCGCAGTTCCTCTCTTTACTGATCATTACGACACAGTCAGACCAGCCACAAACCAGCAAACACAAAACCAGTGGTGGATTTACTGGGTGTTCCTGGAGTTTTCAGAAGGAAATGTCAGAACTGTCTTCTTGAATGGTCTCTTATTTGACCACCAAAAGTAAAACCAATTCTCAGCAGACATGAAAGAATTTCTAAACAGACTTTCCCTTCACAGAGTTTCAGAAAAAAAGGGTTTGTGCTTGGTTGTTTTTAACCATTCCCATTGTCTGCTATGGCTGAAACAAGACTCTCTGATTCAGGCTTGGTTTCTTCAGGGTCAGCACCGACTTCCTGCACAGGAGCAGTTGTTTGAGCCCCTTTCTCCTCCATGAACCTCAAAGCCTGACCACGCTGTTAAAGCTTTAAGACACATCAGAGGAAAATAGAGATTATGAACACAGTCAGATTTTAGCAGCTTTTATCAGCAATTCCTGCTCCTTCCACTACTACCACACACACCTGGGCTTATTCCTTAAGGTCAAGAGCCACTGCTGGGCCCCTCTCAAATCACATTTCCACACATTCCCCACAAAGAGAAAGCAAGGACACACATACTCACCTCGGACTCCTGCACCGCTGCAAAGGAAAGCAAACAGTCCCATCAACAAGCAGGAAGGGCAACTTCCTATTAATGCCCTTTCCTACCCAAGCTGTGCCAGGCAGGGGGGCAGCACTGAGGGTCACTCTGGGCACAGGCACAGCCCCATGGGAGGCCCCTCACACCGGTGAACTGTGACACAGACACACTGCAGCTGCCTCACAGCCTCCTCTGACTGGCTGCTCAGTTTTCAGCTGAACATCCAAGACCCTTCTTCAGAGTAATGGTACAAAACTACCCCTTCACAGTCACACTCTGTACTTACGTGGCACACGACTTCTCATTTTCCTTCGAAGCCCTTGACAGGCTTCCATGAAGGCAGCTGCAGCAGTCAACACCACCATAACACAGACAAGGATTGCTGTGAATATGAGTAGGTCCTGCTTCTTACGTCTGATGTGAGGAAAGAAATAATTGTGATGATACAACCTGCCAGCAGACCCTGCTCTGGAACTGCTGCCCTGGTTTTAACATCACACCTCCACAGCCAGCACCATTCCCAAGGCTCTTGCTGACTTGCTGGCTAATCCAGGTGGCACCTGACTCTTACCTCTTTGCTTCAATGCCTCTAACTGCAAAAGGATTCTTCTCAGAAGCAAACTCTCACCTCTTCTACTCTAGCTAAGAGATGTGCCAGCTGAAACCCAGGTACCAGGAGGCTGCTGCTCTCCATGGCTGCAGATCCAGCTCTGCTAGACCTGCCCAAGAGGCTCCCCTGCACTGACAAGTTCAGATCAGAGCCTGAAACCTGCCATGGTAAGGAGTCCATAAAAGGAGGTAAGCTGTTCCCAGTGAAGAGTGGGACACGGGAAAAGGATTCCACACTGGCTTGCCATACTGCAAGGAGGACACTGCTGTTTGGAACACACCCAAATGCAGAGCCAGCTGTTAGAAAACAGCCACTCACCCACAAGGAGTCAGAGCTGCTTACTTGGGCCCTGGTGTGCAGGCCACAGACATGTTGGCTGAAGAGAAGGTGCCAGGAGGACAGACTTCACACACGTGGTCCTTGGTGGCTGTACCTAGAAGGAAGAAGCCACCAGGATTTCCCCCTCAGCCTCGGCCTAAGGAGAGTCCAGTTCAGCGTGGCCTTTGGAAGTGACCCCGCCATTACTGCAGAGACCCTTCCCCACACACAGCAGCTCACACCCTTCTGCCTTTGCACACCACCAAAAAGCACAAAGTGCTCTTGGCCACAGCACACCAAACTCCAAAGGCATTCCCTAGGGAAGCTCTGCTGCTGGTGGCACTGACGCCCTGCTGGCTTACCCCATTCTTTGACCATAGTGCCAGGCACACAGACAGTGTAGGGCTGGCACAGCTCACAGCCTTCAGGCCCAGAGGAGGTGCAGAAGTGCCCTGGCCGACAGCCACACACCGTGTTCT